AAAGATCAAACACTTTTTGTCTTTTGTTAAACAATCCTATTTGATTACTTAACTGGAAAAAAATTGCTCACTTCAAAAGGTTGTAAATTTGATGTAAACTGATTATGTAAGTGTCCAAAATGATGTAAATTGAAATTACATTAAATGTAAGCATCAAATTTACATCAAATTTACATCATTTTGGACACTTATAATCAGTTTACATCAAATTTACAACCTTTTGAAGTGAGCGATTTTTTCCACCATAAGTAAAAGCCCGCCCCAAGTTTACTAAGGAAGGATCAAGGGGAGGAATAATAAGACCCGCTACTTTCCCGATGAGAACAAAAGCTTTACCAATAGTTTACTTTTTAAAACTAAATGCTAATTTTCATGTAAAATTAAAAAACTGGTTATTTTACACTGAAAGAAAGAAAATCTGAAATGTATAGAAGTGATTGCGAAAAAGTGTTTAAAAAAAATGCTAAAATATATCCCGGCTTAGTAATTGTTAAAAAAGGCTTAGTGTGCGTGTGTTATCGTCCGGATGAATACGCAAGACATCTTTTTTATGTAAACAAATTCAACTTTTCAGTTTTTTTTGTTTCTGGATAGACACAAAACGAGACAATGATACGTCTATAATCTTGAAATAGTGATACTACGCGTGATCTGATTGGACGAGAGTCCATTCTTTATTTCACCTGTAAAACCATCTAAGCGTTTGAATTATCTCATAGATCACAAACAATGAATCATTGAACTTTGGTTATTGTTACAACAGGTTCTGTAAAGATACCTGTAAAGAACCTACCAGTCTTATAGTATTAACGTAAAAAAATCTTCATGCAAAAAAAACAAACAAACAAAAAAAACATGACTCAAAAGTAGTGTACCTGAAAATATATACACTAAAAAGTCTAAAAACGCTATAAATGATGTTTGAAAATCTTGTAAATTTTCATTGCATAAGGGATAAGCCTTTCTTCGGAGATAAATTAAAACTACAATTGATGTAAGCGTCTCTTTGATGAGTTAAAAGTTCTGGGTAGCCTAAAATTCCACCACCATTTACATATTAAGAACCTGTTAGGCTAAATTTGAAAAAAAGGGTTCTTATCACGGTTAAGTACAGTACTGACATCATTTTAGTCTAAGCTTTCGCTGTTTACAGCATTGTCACTCAGAAATAAGCAAGTCTATGTTCAAAGAAAAAGAAACTATATAGTGAACAAGGAGAACTTTCAACGAACAATTAGTGACTTCGTTATTCACAAAGTATCTATCTATAGGCAAGATCTTATATCATAGATTATCATACGTTATACAGAAAGTGACTTGATGTTCATAAGTTTAGCACTAACTGTGTCGGAGCTCTTTTGGACTTTAGTTAATCTTCCATAGACTGGGCATCCCAATTCTTCGTTTTCAGGTTACGTCACAGCGGGCACCTTGGAGGAACTTCAACAAAGGATTTCTCATTAGTATCTATTGTTCATTCCTCCAACATGGCCGCCGGTCTTTTATCAATAAGAATTTTGCATGAAACTGTAACCTGGTACTAAATCCGCCCTGATACCCACTGGGAGGTTCAAAACATAGAAGAGTCAAGTTTAACGCCGGGCTGTGTTGCATTTGTATTTGAGGTTGTTTACATTCAGTCGGGCGGATTTAGTAACATGTGACCGATTGATGCAAAAAGGCTATGTCCTACTGTGCCGACCGCAGACTATCGGCAATGCAGGCTAATTTCTCTACAAAAATCACAAATGCATTTATTTATAATGAGAATGTTTAAGGATAGTTTATTCAAATCTCAATTTCTAACATTTTTTTAACAGATCGAGAGGTCAACAATAGACCTCTGAAGCTTTTACGTCATGTACCGTATACGCAATGCATTGTAGGATATGTTTTGGACAGAACATGGCGGATTTCTTTTGTTTTCGCTCGAAACTGATCCCACAATGCATTGAAAGTCAAGTTGTGACGTAAAAGCTTCAGTTGTCTAGAAGCTTGCAATTTTCGTTCAATGTATCTATGGTGGCTCTACAAGATTTGCCGTATTCATTCACATGGTGTGGTATAATCGTCAGAAAAATGTTGCCATCAAACACCTTGTAGTGATTACCGCCAGCTTTGACATTGAAACCACATTTTGTCGCAAAGTTTATCAACGTCTGTCGATTGCAATCACCGGGGTGCTGGAGCGGCTGAAGCGCACGAACTTCAGCTGCCAATCAAATGTAAATGAAAAATAACTTAATTTTTGTCTTTTTTTCCTTTTTTTCTCCTCTTCTTTTTTTTCATTGGCATGGTTTTCATTAAATCTTATCATTTGCCTCCTCGTAAGGCTTTTCATCAGCTTCAGTCAAACTGGCGACCAACAGAAACAGACCAAACAGGAAAAACGTAATGCGCATGTCTGAAATTCTTTCGTGTTCAAGCTCTAGAGAGAGATAGCGAATGTTAGTAAACTCGTTGACCCCCCCCCCCCCCTTCCCCAAAAAAAGGAAAAAACAAAACATGATAAAACAAGGAGCAAGATAGCATGGCTTAATAGTTGTCAAACACATTGCATGTGTTTGACAAAAAAATCCACCATGAAAAACATTTTTTTCTTGAATCCTCAATTCTCGACTTATTACCCTCATGGTAGCCTCGATTCTCTAGCCTCGATACAAACAGGCTGCCTAATCGATCCGAAGTTTCACACTTTTCTTTATTTTTTTATTTTTTGGCATTGACCTACTGCCGTGAAAGATATTCTGAGTCTGGTCTCTCTGTCTTAGTTGGCAACTGTATAATAATGTCTTACCTTAATTACTCAGAATTTTCTGCTGAAGTCTTGAGTGTCCTTCCTTCACCGCGATGCAATGATGAACAGAATGTTCCGATTTCATCTCTTTAAATACCAGGAAGTGTCAATAAATCAAGCGTAGGAACAAATTACCGAACTTGATAAACAAAGCTTATCTTATCAATAATGCATACTTTTGAAACAAAACCTCACGTCACCTTGCTCCAATGCTATTGCAACAATCAATTATCCTCCTTTTAAGGACGAAAAACACTTATATTTTAAGGAAAAAAAAAACTATTTTGCTAATGTATTCACCTCATTCAAGTTCTGTGCGAAAAAAGCTGTGAAAAAAACGTAAAGAACAATAAAAAAACTTGCATTGGGGAACGGGTGGTTTGGTGGTACCTATTGTCCAAGTTTAAGTGCTGGGCGGATCAAGGGGAGGGATAATGGGACCAGCTACTTCTCCGAT